GAGACAACCTAAAGCCAGGCTTCCTGCCACGAAAGCAATGTGTTCAGACTTGAAACACCCCAGAAAAGACCTGCTGAAGCACTGTAAACGTACATGTAGTTGTGCATGTGTGTGTGTGTATAGATATAGATATAGATATAGATATAGATATTAGTTATAGATGTAGATGTAGATATAGATATAGATACAGGTAGAAAGATAAATAGATAGACAGACAGAGAGATAGATAGATAAAGAGATAGATAGATAGATACATACATACATAACTAGATAGGTAGATAGATAGATAAACAGATAGACAATACATAGATATATAGGTTGATAGATAGATAGATGGATGGGTGGATGGGTGAATAAATAGATTAGATAGATAGATGCATAGGTAGATAGATGCATAACTAGGTAGCTAGATAGATAGATAAATAGATAGACAGATAGATATACATATATTCTTGTATGCATGTATATCTGCATGCGTGGGTGTGCGCGTATACATACAATATGTATGTATGTGTATGTATCTGTCTCCCTTTGTTGAGGCAGGAGCCTGTCAGTGGAACGGCTTTTCATGCTCAACCGCAAAAGATAGACCCAGGGTCCAGATGCTTTGAGGACCCCTGAAGCAGTTTTGGAGCCGGCATCTCGAGCCCATCTTTGTATCCCAAAGCCATGAAGCACGGTCCAGTGTCGACTGCGTAGTCGACCGATTCGGTGGCTTAAGGGCCGCATTCCAGGGCATATAGTGCCTAGTGGTATTGCGGTCATCGGTGTAGGGTAAGGTGCAGCATCTGGGGCGAAGGCGAGCCTGTCGAATTCGGATGGGTGGTCTGGATTCTGGATGTGGGACTGCAGCACTGGAAGTGAACTCCATATTGATCCCTTACAGGAGTCCTTCAAGGATTATGGGTTCCTTAAGGCCCGTCCACGCCTTGTCCGTGGGATTTAGGGAATGTCGAGGGCTGGGGGCTTTTGGTTCCTGACATTAGTATAAGGGCTTCAAGAATTACCCACATTGTTTTTTAGGGTTCCTTGTTATACTATATTAAGGAGCCCAAAACCCTATTCTAATCATTAAGGCCCCTACATTACGGTGTGGGAACCGGGCCTTGAGCCTCTCACCGGCTCTGATTTCCTGCCAAGACCTCTCGATCCGCAGGCGCTTGATGAGAAGGATGAGGACCTTGCTTTCTGGGAGGTTTAGGGTTTAGGGTTTAGGGTCCTCCAAAGCTCTGAAGCCCAAGACCCCACGACGCCTCTCATTTGGACTGTCCGGCCCCGGAATAGTTACTCTTATTTATTGCACAGGGTTCCTTGTTGCTACTAATGAACGCCGCTTACTTAAAGTCTTAAAGGGTTGTGTGGTACACTTCTTGCATTCCCGCATTCAACACTTCCGCCTCGCAGTAAACCACCAACACAGCGCGTGATTGTGTGATCTTTCCGAACCATGCCCCTTGACGAATCCTGGATCCAGTATCTTTCGAGAAACCAAATAGCAGAAGGGCGAGCCAAGTTTGCGAACAGATCCGCATTCTCAGCTGGAGCCTGACAGAGCAAACGAAAGGAACGTGAGATTCTGTTGCTGCGCGGTTCTCTTCAAGAACGCTCCGACAATGCAGCCACGCGACCCTGAACCCTAAACCGTGCCAGTACCCCAACTCACAGACTCAAAGCTCAGTGCCACGGAAGATTGGAACCAGGTCCTCCGTTGGGGTCCACGGCCTGACAGCTTTGGCCATATGTGCATCAGAACAGTTCGGGTGCAAACTTAGTGTTCAAGCCCAGGGTTTCGGATGTAGGGTTCGGGGATGTTCGGGGTTTAGGGGGGATGCAGGGTTTCGGATGTTTGGGCGTTCGTGGGTTAAGGGTTGAGTGCTGCAGTGAACTCGTTGTAAGCAAGCCGCGTCGTGGGAGCCCCACCAGCCCAGGCAGCCTCTAAGGCGGCTAGGCCACGGTTTAGGGTTTAGGGTTTCGGGGTGTAGGAGGAGCGACGATCACTTGGCGCTGTGGCTCTAGAAATGCATTTTATCGATTTTTGATTTCAAAACTGATTTCACAACCGCCTCAAAGGCTCCAAAAATGCGTTCATTTGCGTTTATGAAGATTTTTCGATTGGTTTCTTTGTAAGTGTGCATTTCCGGTCATTTTGCGGCGTATGGCTGTCCAAAAGATGTCTAAAGCGCTGGTGGAACGTTGTTTTTCGAAGTTGTCTGCACATTTTCATGCAATTCCAGTTTTCATTGACTGGATTGGGGCTAGGATGTGTAGAATCTGTCTCTCTAGCACTGGAAGTGCGCATTTAGATAAGATTTGCGCTATTGGAAAAGTGGTCTTCAAAAGGACCAGTTGTCTACACAAGCTGTTTGCAATTTATGGCCAACCAGGAGACAAGGTCGGAATGAGTAGCAAAGCGAAGTCTGGGTGAAGCCCAGAACCGGAATCCTTCAGCAGCTGCCGCCGCAGGACGTCATCCCACGCTCCGGTCCCGGCTGCTACAAGGTTCACCGGGTGCCGGTCGGAAGCTCAGCGGGTCTCAGGTTTAGGATCTAGGCTTTTTGGGATCTTTTCAGGAGTTTTTGGGCTTAGGTTTCAGAGCATAGGATGTCGCTTCGAACTGGCGTCGAGGAGTCCCAGCTGCAGAAGGGGGTTGTTCTGAGGGTTGGGGGTTTAGCGGTTTGGGGGTTTAGGGGTTCAAGCTGCGAACGCAAAGCACACATCCGCGTGCCGTCCGATCCATGCCCAGCCCCAACTCCCAAACCCCAAAGTCTCACGTCGCCGGACTTGCTTCATCCTTCCCTAAACCCTAAACCCTAAACCCTTTGAAGCTAGAATAGCTAGAACAGCATTCCAGACCTCAGCCTGATCCTAAGAGCCCTTGAGCCCCGAACCTGCCCGAAGCCATAAGGCCAACCTTCACCCCAAAGACAGAGCACGTCTTACGTCTTACGTCTTGGAACCTAGAGCCGATGGCAAAAGAACCTAGGCTAGATCCGGGTCCTTGTTGGATACGTTTTTGCATTTTTCGTTATAATAAACCCAATAAGGAACAAGAATTGGCATGTTTAATATAGCCCCAACAAGGAACCAGATGTTAAAGCTCAGAGCCGCGAGGTCCCAGAGGACGCCAGCCAGGAGACCTTCGCGCAGGGGTGTCCTGTCATGAGCTGTCATGTCTTGTTTTTCGGGGTGTAGGGTCTTTGTGGAATCAAACGGTCCTGCTCACGGTTTCGAGTTGCAGCCGGATTTTCGGGCCTGACAAGGTTTAGAGGTGTTTTCCATAGGGTTTTGCTAGGATCTGAGAACTTCGTTTGTTCAAGCGTTGCATCGGTTACCATCTGCAAGATGCACACTGGTGGGTTTTTGGGGCCCACGGGTTCGGGTCTGAGCCTCGTCTGAGTTGTCAGTTTGGGATCCCATGTGCGCGCCCCCTCCGGGATCCGAAACCGATACTATCCAGAGAGCCCAATACCCCTTTATTAAGGAATATACCTTAAATCATAACATTAAGGCCCCTATGCCCAATACCCCTTTATTAAGGATTATACCCTATATATCATAATATTAAGGCCCCTATAATTTAAGGTATATGCCGCCTTAGTTAAAGGGTCATTGGGCTCTCTGGGTACGCCCGTCTGGGCTTTACGATCCTCCCAGTCACAAGCTCCTCTCCCTCAGACTCACAGTATCTCCCGAACCCCCGTAAATCCAAAGCCCCCGAACCCTGATCCGACCCTGAACACGAACCTTAAGCCCCTAAACCCTAAACCCTAAATCCTAAGCCCTAAAGCCTAAACCCCTAAACCCCAAACCCTAAACCCTGAACCCCTAAAGCCTATAAATATCTATAAATCCTAAGCCCTAATTCGAGCCTACACCCTGCCCTCAATCCTAAACCTCTTCGACCCTAAGCCCACAATCCCAAACCCCATTTCGGCCCAACCCTAACAAGGACCTGGCGAGAAACCAATCCAGAGTCTAGATCCTGGAAGAGTCTCCTTCATAGAACTCCCCTAAACCCGAAACCCCCAACAGCCCCAAAACCCCTAAAGCGCAAGAACGGTGGTTTCACGCCTATGGAACCTCGCCTGGCTTGTCCGGGTTGTGAGAGCGTAAACCGCCAGAACCTCTTTCTTGCCGAGGTATAGCCTCGAGCACGAAGCGCAGGAGGGCCTCCCGGAGCCAACGGTGCTGGCCGCCGGGAAGCTCGGTGTGCGGGGTTTAGGGTCTAAATATGTCACTGTCTAAATGCGATTCCGTCTTCAAGGACTTTCTAAGGGTTACCATGAGGGTTGCTACAAGGCTTCTACAGGATTTCAGGTTTAGGGTTTGGGGTTCAAGAGGTGCTTCTCAGGGTACTTTTGTAAACATTCTTGCTTGGGGCTTTGTGGGTTTTATGGCTTAAAGAGCTCTGAATCTAGACAGGGCTTTGGGGTTTAGAAAGAGTTCTACAAGGGCAGCCTGAAAAAAATTGTCAGGGCTGCTCTAAGGGTGTTTTGTCAGGAGGTTAGGGTTGAAGGGTTTTTAGATGTTTCTGGGCCTGGGGCTTAGGATCTGTATGTATGTATGTATGTATGTATGCATGCATGCATGCATGCATGCATGCATGGATGTATGTATGTATGTATGTATGTATGTATGTATGTGTGTATGTGTGTATGTAGAGGTCGGTGTTTGGAATCTTCGGCTTCGTGCTCTATTCTGAGGTGTCAAGGAGTGGTTCAGGTTTCGCCAGACCCTACAGCTCAAGCTGTGGCTGCTGACCTTCCAGGACATCTTGCCGCCATGGCTTCCATTGACGTGTCGCGTGTCCTGCAATTTTGCGAGGAGTTGGCGGCTGCGGGCGCCTCGCGCAAAGACGCCCTGGAGGCCGTGGCCAGGATGTGGCCGGCAGCACCGGATGACCCCCGGGCTCGCGACGCTCTGTCTGCGTCCGAGTGCATGACGCAGTTTTTGATGTGGAGCACGAGGAGCGCTTGAAGGAGAGGTCTGACTACTTCCGGATGCTGCTGGATGGCCCGTTTCGCGACTCGCACGACTGCGTTCTTGATGTTTCTGAGCTACTACAGACGAACCAGCGGTTCAGTGCCGGAGGAACTATCGAGGAGTGGGCCCAAGGTGTCAAGGAGTTCCTGGCCGTGGCAGAAGCTTGTGATGCTGTAGCGGCACAGGCTCTTGTGCGACAACAAGGGGATATGTGCGCATGCTTGCGTCTCCTGTTGCTCGCCGATTGCCTCACGGCCCCGTCAATTGAGCAGATCTGCGCTGACGAGGCTTGTCAGCGCATGCAGCACGAGGTGTTGCATGACCCCAAGCCCGACCGCGATGCGTTGATTTGTGCGTTGCCCTGGGAGCTTATGCAGCGCCTATTGAATTGGCTGGCATTCAAAGCATGACTCTCGTCCTGAACTTGGTGGGGCTTTGGTCACGCCCCGCGACTATGACTCAAGAGCACTTGCGGGCGTTTCTCCAGTGTAGGTGTGCCGGCATTGCTGATAACCTGGACTGGGTGCGAGAGTGGCTCCCGCTGTGCCAACATCATCCCCACTTGCTTCACAACCTCCCGCAATCTCGAGAGACTTTCGAGAGGATGGGGCGCTTCTTGGCCAACCTTCCGGTTATCGTCAAAGAAATGCTCGACGACAGCCTCCCGGGACTTGTTAGATATCATTCCGGGCACTACAAGTGTGGCACAGACGCCGGATGGTCATGTTGCGAGCAGGTAAAGAAGCGGTCACCTGGATGTGAAGTTGAGGTCCAACGCCAGTTCCAGGTTCCTGCAGTGACTCATGGCAGATACGACATGAACCTCGAAAGCGCGATCCAGCAGGTGATTCATGCGAGGATCAATACGTTTGGCGATCACTTGGAGTCAGTGCTGTGAGATCAACTTTAATTTGAAAAGCCGTACACTTGGGGCAACCTCGCGTGGCAACCTAGCCGACTTGCGAGACCTTGGGACCCCATCTGGCATTGCCCGAGCGTGAGAGTGTAAACCCTCTGTCGGGGATCGGAGTTGCTATGATTCAGATGTCAAAATGTCTGGGCTCCTTAGTTGGACGCTTGTGGACTGCGATCTGATGCAGCAGGCTGCCATGTCCCCGCACTTCAGAATTCAATACCCGTAGCGTGTGGGACCTGTGGGAAGCATCTTACGCCGTCTACTTGAGTCGTGAGAGCGAGCATACACCATCATGCCTAATGTGGTATAATGAGACCGGAGAAGATCATCTTAGGATCTGAGGGCGACAGGGCACCCATGATAGTTGTTTATCCTAGTCGGCTTGTAGTAGCATTACACCCCAGGCTTTCTTTTTGCCTTTTCGTAGCTTTTGGGTTGATTGTAAACCGCACATGCGCCCACTCGACAAATTCAAGAATTCTTGTTTCTTACCTGCGGCAGCCCGTACCTGCAACAAGTGTGTACTGTCCTTTATAAGTCCTACTTCTCACCCGAACCTCACTTACTTATTCGTGACTGCAGTACCGGGGGCACCCATACGAAGAGGACTCCTCAAAGCAACGGGGCTTTGCTACATGACAGAATCCTCCTTCAAAGTGTGGCTGGCTGTTATTTGTGGGATGTTGCTGTAGCAAACCCGCCTTCACAGACCCAGTTAGCATATGATAATATGCCACATGCCTTGCCTGGGGGAGTCTGAGTGTGAGCGCTGAAACTTGAAATCCTAAACCCTGAACCCAAAACCCACAACCACCGAAACAGAGCAAACTCAACGAGCTCTCTCCGGTTACCAAGCCTAGCCGCGCCAAGGCATTTCGCGCCGTGCTGACCGATCCGCTTTCAAGGGAGGCCAGCTCACCTGCAATCAGGGATCTGTGTACCATGGGGGTTTTGATAGTATTCCTCGTCCCTCAGCATCTTTACAAAGCCAACAACACCCACCAATGATTCAGGCCCCATTTTTTATGCGTTGACACCGAAGCCTGTCCTCGGCTCCTTTCCTCTCGAGCACTCCGTAACAGTTGTTTTGCAGGGTTTAGGGTGTAAGGCAGGGTTTAATATAGGGGCCTTAATAAATAGAATGGGGTTTGGGGGTATAGTATACTATAATTATAATAAGGGACCCCCAAAACCCTATTCTAATTATTAGGGCGCCTACATTAGGGTTTTTAGGTCTGCCTCAAGAACCCCTCGGGCCGGTAAGGTGCAATGGCTGGCAGAGGCAGGGGGCGGGGGATGGCCCATGTCCCTGAAGCCCCGGACCCGAATGACAGCGTGATCAAGGCGTTGTTGCAGCTTCAGGAGGACGGGGACCTCACTAGCTTCCTGGAAGTGGCCGCAGTAGACCTGAACCAGGACATAGCCGTTGCCAAGTACCGAAAGACGACGCCCTTCGACGCTCTCCTGAACGGCTTGAGGAAATCCGAGTCCTTGGCCACTGCCTCGGGCCTGGAGACGATCCGATTGGCCGTGTCTCTCGGCGCGCAGTGGACGGTTCCCAGCTTCCTGAAGCTGCTCCGGGGCCTCATCGAGCTCCGCGCCGTGAACGGGGCCCAGGGCCGGGAGCTCCTGGACTTCGCCCTACAAACGGGCGCGCGATGGGACCCCGGCGAGGATGAGCCTGTGTCTCGCGATGAAGTGGCCTTCCAGGCCATGGTGCCTCTGCTTCTGGAGGCCGAGCTTCTGGACGAGCCTGCCTCCATGGAACTGTTGGAGAGATCTTTGGCAGAGTGTCGGCTGCAGAATGTCATGGGAGTCAGGTTGGAGGGCGGTGGGAACATCTTCTCCCATCTGGTTGGCGATGCAGTTTGCTGGGGCGTCTTGGGAACGCCGAAAGGGGATGCCCTCATCGACCTCGCGATGGCGCATGGGGCCGACTGGGCCTCCCTGGACGGCTGGAGCCTCACCCCCTTCGAGGAGATCCCCCGCCTGGCCTTGAGAAGAGACCCAAAGCACAAGACCCCGATGTCGCCGGAGGCTGCGCTGGCCTATGCCCGGAAAGTGCTACAAGGTCATCCGCAGCCGGGTCTCTTGTGGAACGGCACGAGGAAGACGCGGACGGAGGAGGACCCCTTTGAGTCCCAGGGGGCCTTGCTTCCTCTGCTCCGGACTTTGGCCGAACAGAAGCGCGTTGGGGAGGCGATCTCTCGGAAATGGTTGAAGATGGCAGATGAGACCGGGGCCAAGTGGGATGCCATTCACTGGAAGTGTTGCCGGAAGCAGCAAGTTTTCAATTTGTTTCTGGTCGTCAACATAAGTCTTTCATACCAAGAGAGCCTCTGTCTCTATAGAGCTGCAAGACGAGGAACCTCATGAAGTGGAAGATCTGGCAGATCGGCCGGGTCAGTACTTTCCACTCCCTGGTGCAGGACCTTGCGGTGGCGGGCGCCTTAGATCACCCCGATGGGGTGGACATCGTGGCCCGGGCGCTGGAAAATGGCGCCGACTACCGTATTGATGATCCGGAGCCTCCCGGGCCGAAGCGCCTCCCGGTGGATATCCCGGAGCTGGTGTGGAGCTGGCGAAGGGAGACCGTGCGCCTCTTGGCACTGCTGGCCTCTGGAAGGGCCGTCCCCAAGTCGGGAGATCTGGTGGCTTCCCTGGTTGCGCTGGCCCAGTTCGTGCAGGGGGCGGCGCACGCCTCAGCTCTGCAGGTTCGGCATCCCATTGTGGAGTCGATACTGGGATTTCTTCCTCGTGTCCCACCGGTGCTGGGTTATGAGTTCACGGGCTATAACGAGGTGGCACACCATCCACAACCCGTTCGATGCTAGACCCCCCCCCCCCGGCCTCGAGCACTCGACCTTAGAAGCGTCAACATTAAAACCTGGAGCCTTAAACTCGCGTTGAGAATCGTCCAGTTCCGTGTGCTGCGGTTCGTTGATGTCATGGCTTTCCCAGAGCCCAATACCCCGTAATTAAGGAATATGCCTTAAATCATAATATTTAGGGCCCCTATAATTCAAGGCATATGCCTTAATTAAGGGGTATTGGGCTCTCTGGGTTCACTTCGTAAACGCACAGGAAGGCCCGCACCTTCAGGCCAAGCTAGTCAGGTGGTGTGCGACTTCAGCTTGCGGAGACAAAAAACAGGCCTTCTTGGCGATGCTTTGCTGCCTAGCCGCCAAGCTGAGTTGCTTGTTTTTCGCGCGTGAAGCGGACTGTTTTTTTTTTTCGGGCCTGGGGATTGGCATTACGTGTTCGGGGTCGGAGAGCTTTTAGTAAGTAGGGATATCGGTATCAACAAAGACGGTACCGGTAGTAGTAGGGGTAGAACTCTCTCCCATCATCCATATCAGCTGATCACTCAGCCCCTCTATTTGGGATACCCCTCTCCGTATGTGTGTCAGTATGTACGCGTGTATGTGCATACAAGCCCGGCAGAGGAAATATTTCAACTCACGGCCAGACCAGCCCTGACAGGCTTAAACTGGGTTCTTGTCAAGGGTTTTAATTTAAGCTACCATTATCAGGAAGCCCTATCATTTACTACAGATCCCTATTATGGTATCTTCGATCAAATCCCAACAAGGAAAAAACCCTATTATTTACCACAGATCCCTATTATGGCAATCATGGCATCTTAAATTAAAACCCCAATAAGGAAACCCTGTTATTTACTACAGATCCCTCTTATGGTATCTTAAATCAAATCCAAATAAGGCTTCCCGGAAACCTTATTTTTTACTATAGATCCCTATTAGCCTATCATGGTATCTTAAACCAAATCACTTAACAAAAACCCAGAAAAAATCCACCGTGGAAACCCGGAAGTCGTGATCAGGCGGAGGAGGAGAGCCCGCTGCTTCAGGACGGCTGGGTTGGGGGGTGGAAGGTCGAGGTTTCGTGCTTCGGTGGTTAGGCCTAGGGTTTATAGGGTTTAGGGATGTTTAGGGTTTAGGGGTTTAGGGGTTCAGGGTTTAGGGTTTAGGGTTTTAGGGTTTAGGGTTGAGGGTTTAGCGAGGATGGCGAGGATACACGTCTTTCCCGGTAGAGTCGCTGCAGACCGGATGCAAAAGGGTTGAGGGTTTAGGGGTTTAGGAGGTTCGGACTTGGGGATCTGAGGCTTACAGTGTTTTGGCCTCTATGCGTCGTACAGGTTGTGCGAGTTCCTTCGGATAAGGCTATCCGAGGTTTGAACGAGGAGCGAAGGACAAGGTCAAGCCCTTCCGAAACCTCCGTGTTTTGTGCACACTCGAAGGTCATGTCTGCAAGCGCTTCCAGTGATGTCTATCTCTCCCCCTCCCTCCCTCCCTCCCTCCCTCCCTCCCCTCCCCTTACCTCCCCCTCCCTCCCCTCCCTCCCTCCCTGCCTGCCTGCCTGCCTGCCTGCCTGCCTGCCTGCCTGCCTGCCTGCCTGCCTGCCTCTCTACGTGTGCAAACCGACGCACTCAAAAACAAATACCCGTATTTATGCATTTATTATGTCATGTGGATGCCTGTGCGTACACATGTGGGCATATATATATATATGTATTTGCCCGGGTTTTGGGGCTCCAGGGGGTGCAGGGAACAGTGTGTGCCCATCGCTTCGAGGGCCAACCAAGGACATGTCTGTGGGAGTTGCCGAAAATTACGGGGTACCTTATTTTGCGGTCCTTATAGTAAGGATCCTACTATTTAGGGTACTATATTAGGGTCCCCTATTTTCGGAAACCCCCATGTGTCCCTTTAACAGCCGGACTGCCTGACGCGTTCGGGGTTTCCTTACTAGTATGGTTGCTTTTTCAAGAGGTTCTTATCTTGAGGCCCCTATGCTTGGAGTCCCGATTTCGCGGGTCCTTAGCTTCTGGAACTCGCAGCTCAGTGCGAAAAGGCTTGGAACCTAGCATCCCGATATCCGTGAGCCGAGCCGTTTTCCCCTAAACCTGCATACCCCGAAACCCCTAATCTCTCTAGTCGAAACCCCCACCAAAACGTAAACCTTACACCCTCAAAGTCAAAGTTTTGGGATTTCAGAGCTTCAGGGCTCTAGGATCAGCCAAGTGCTGTAGACTTTGGCTAGGAAGTGCACAGTCTCTGCGCTGCCGCGAGGCCGATGGTGTCGGGTTGGGAAGTTCGGGTGGCTAAAGACAGAAACACGACGTTGACCCAAATTAGTCGTTGAGACGGGCTCTCCCGGCCCCAAGCGCCCTGACATTGCAATGGCTTCGACTGGGGTGCATCAGGTCCTCCAAAAGGCTTGCAGAAGGGCTTTGCTGGACCGGCTGCCAGCCCAGAGCTACGGCTTACACACTCACATGCGCATGGGAATATGCATGCATGCATGCAACCATGCTGCACTGGGCTGATGCACACACGTGTGTGCATTTACATATATACATGCATGCATGCAGTTATTGAGTTTTTGTGTATGTGTGTGCATGTGTGTATGCTGTATGTGTTGGTGTAAGGCGCAGAAATAGAAAGACAGATTGGTAGAGAGAGAGAGAGAGAGTGCCAGATTGATGTTGGCGCCTGGTCTCTAAACCTCCGACCAAACCAGACATGATGTGACGTTGTCTTCAGTTTATGAGAATTTTGGGGTCCATCTCCACAAGACCTTTATCCCGGCCCAGTGCAGCCATGAGCCCGAGTGCGAGCGATTGTGCAAGCCGCCAAACTAATGAACTCTTAGAGGCATCCCATAGCAGCCCTTGCAACAAATTTTGACCCTTCAGTCCAAGACCCGAAACCTTTCCAAAAGACCAGGAAACGCTAAGACCCTGCACCGACCCGGGGCGGTGGGCCAGGCAAGCGCCAGCAGCACCGCCGCCACTGGCAGCCACAGCTGCTGCCAAGGCCGAGGCCAGCAGAACTTGGACTGGTTTAGGGTTTAGGGTTTAGGTCTTTGCAAGGCTTCGCTGTGGCGTTGCGGTTGTCTGGGCTTTCCTAGCGGGATAGTGTTTGGATATGGGGTGCGTGCACGTCCTTCATGCGGGATGGCTTTTCCTTATATCTAGCTGTCGCTATATACTTTACCTCAAAGGCGAGAGATGGTGAATGAGAGGGAGAGGGAGACAGAGAGAGAGAGAGAGAGACTCAGATTTGAGACTGGCCAGATCCGCGTTTGGGGGAGGGCGAGAGGAGGGGGAGGGTTTAGGGTTTAGGATTTAGGGTTTTAGGTTTTAGGGTTTAGGGGGCAGCAGAACACAGCTGCCAGGACCCAGAGCGTCATCTCGCCAGACGCCGAGCGCAGGCGCTGGCCTCGCGGCCGTCGGGTCAGGCTCCCTAAGACGAAAGCTGTGTTGTTTTCTTGGGGGCTGAGTAGGTAACCTTTAACCTTTTGGGGCTTATATAAACCTACTATAATTCAAAAGGTTAATCTTTTTTGGGCTTGGGCTAAGGTACTCGGCCCCTAAGGTTTTCTTGGGGGTGTACAAGGCTTCAGCATTGAACTAGGGGGTTTGGGGATTCCCACGGTTGTAGGTTTTCGGTCGGTTTTTGCATTTTCATCTGCGGTTGCCCGGGAGGGATCTGGAGCTGGCACGGGATTGACCGGGTTTTGGGGCGCAAGATAGGTTTTCTGCTTGCGGGAAAGCCTCGACAGGGCACTATTCCACTGGAAGAAGGCAGTAATGGTAGAACACTTAGTTGCAACCTTTTTTTCCTCTTAGATGTAACTTTTCAGCTGTTTCAGCAAAATGACTTTGTAACTTTTTACTCCGAAACCATCAAATCTAAAGAAGGTTGCAAAACAGGCATCTTAGCCATATTTTGTTGATGTCTTTAGACAGAAGCCACTAACTTTTCATGGTCTGTTAACTTTTTCTCATTAGGGTTTTCGTCTTCGGTCAAGGGCTCCTGCTGGATTCACTCGTCAGTTTATTCGTCTTCGGGAAAAAGTTCCTTCTGGATTCACTCTTTAGGGTTTTCACCTTGGGAATTCACTCCTTAGGGTTTTCGTCTTGGGTTAAAAGCAGTCCTTAGAGTATTCACTCCTTCCTTAGGGTTTTCGGCTTGGGCTAAAGTTTCCTGCTGGATTCACTCCTTAGGGTTTTTGCTTTGGGAATTCACTCCTTAGGGTTTTCGTCTTGGGCATTCACTTCTTAGGGTTTTCGTCTTGGTTTCCTGCTGGATTCACTCCTTAGGCTTTTCGTCTTCGGTCAAAGGTTCCTGCTGGATTCACTCCTTAAGTTTTCGTCTTGGAGAACAGGTTCCGGCTGGATTCACTCCTTGGGGTTTTCGTCTTGGGTTAAAGCTCCCTGCTAGCTTCGCTCTTTACTTGGTTTTCACATCTGTAAAAGGAATTGCCGAAGCAACTGCATTATCACTGGTACCTGTGGCTTGCGCATGTCGGCTTAAGCTAAAGGCCCATTGTCAGGGGAACAGAGTGTAGAGCTTCGGCATGGGATAGACCACATCCCAGTGTGGTTGTCAAATGTTAAGGCTGTTAAGGCCTCATAAGATTTGTAGATATGTCTTTGTAAGTGAGCATAGCAGCTTGATGTAAGGCTGTAGAGCGGCTTCAGGTGGGGGCTTGGCGAGTGGGGAAGTTGAAGTAACAGCCACCTCGAAGCAAGAGTCTCTTATGCAAGCCTGACTGCCGGGCTGGTTGGGGCTAAGTGGGGCAGGTGGGGTAGTGGGGGCCGGGTAGCAAGGCAGGTGGGCTAGGTGGGGCACGTGGGGTAGGTGGGTCAGTAGGGAAAAGGAACAAGTTACATCTACGAGAAAAAGTTACATCTAAGACGACAAAATTTACAACTAAGCCTGCTACCGGCAGCAACTCTCTCGTCAGCCAGCGGCAAATGATCCTGAATCCTTACGATCTTCCGTGCAAAAAAAAAAGAAGCCAA